GCCAAAATCATGATTTCTAGCGTCTGGAAGCTCTCGAATCGTAAGAAAAATATTTTATTTTATTTACCAGCGCCCAAAACCCGCTTCGCGGGCCTTGGGCGCTGGATGCGACCTTTGCATGAAAAGTTTGACTTTCTGATAGCTCGGGTCCTACGGACCCCCGCCCCCCGCCCCGACCACACGCGCGAGTGCAACTGGCCAGAATGAGGAAGTTTGTATTTTTTCGCATTATGCAAATTAGCCTTCAGGTACCCCCAAAAATCAATAAAACCGCCTATAACTTTGTAAACTTGTATTTCATGGAAATTCTGAAAACGCCATCGGAAACAGAAGGGTCGATTCCCCCGGGTGACGGAGAATTGGGGCATTTTATGCACGGGAAGGCCCTCAAATCGGGCCTCGAAAGTGACATCCACACACACACACACACATACACTCCAAAATTATATAAGGTAGGATTTAGCTGGCTTTTGGGGATTCTTATCAAAAGAAGAAAATTTATCGTTTTCACGTTTTTGAGAGCTTCCCAGTGCTGTAAAAATCATGAAATCCTGAGGTCCCTGCCCGGAGATAGAGCCTGTAAATGATTTACCTGGGCCATATACAGTACTCCAAAGAGGGCAAGGGATAGCAGAGCAGACTTGAGGTATGCCATTTTGATAGAAGAAGAAGAAGCTGGGATGGGCTGATGGCTGGCCCAAGACCCACACTTTATATATCAACCATCTGAAGGGGGGATGGCAAGTTGATAGGGAGGGGCACATCTACAGCATCACCACCAACATCATCATCTGGACATGTCAAATGGGGGGATCGGGTAGAACGTCATCTCTCTCTCTCTCTCTCTCCTCTCTCTCTCTCTCTCTCTTCCGATGCCTTGACCGCGTTGACAGCCCCCCCCCCCGCGCCAAGCGGATGCGCGTATACGTGTGCGGCCAATGATCTCGCCGATCCGTTACGCTATGTAAATATGACCGGGCCAAGAAGTGCTACCTAAAAGGTGATCGGGGCAAAACGGCCGGAGATCTTTGGAGAATTTGTGGCAAACTAGCAGAGTTTCCGAAGCATTTTGTGTAGTTTTACGTTGAGGGCTCGAGAGGCAATCTAGCGGAGATTCTTGGGGAGTATCTTTGCTAGTCTGGGCAAGCAGCAAAGTTTATTAGGGAACCAGCCGATTACAGCCGCGTCGCGGCTGTAATCGGCTGGCCTTCGGGCTACCTTCCATATTCTACACCACCACATTCCTTCCCTAACTTTATCAATATCCGTGCTGATGGCTTTAGATACCCCCCATAGCCGAAACCCCCGTTAAAACACTACTTAGAAAACTCCTGATGGCTCCAAATACGCCCCATAGCCGAAATCCCCTTCAAAAACTACCTAAATACCTTCCTGATGGCTTCAGATACCCCCCATGGCTGAAATCCCCTTCAAAAATTACCGAAATACCTTCCTGATGGCTTCAGATACCCCCCATGGCTGAAATCCCCTTCAAAAACTACCTAAATACCTTCCCGATAGCTACAGATACCCCCATGGCTGAAATCCCTTCAAAAAACTACCTAAATACCTTCCTGATGGCTTCAGATACCCCCCATGGCTGAAATCCCCTTCAAAAACTACCTAAATACCTTCCCGATAGCTACAGATACCCCCCATGGCTGAAATCCCCTTCAAAAACTACCTAAATACCTTCCTGATGGCTTCAGATACCCCCCATGGCTGAAATCCCCTTCAAAAACTACCTAAATACCTTCCCGATAGCTACAGATACCCCCCATGGCTGAAATCCCCTTCAAAAACTACCTAAATACCTTCCTGATGGCTTCAGATACCCCCCATGGCTGAAATCCCTTCAAAAATTACCTAAATACCTTCCCGATAGCTTCAGATACCCGCATGGCTGAAATCCCCTTCAAAACGACCTAAATACCTTCCTGATGGCTTCAGATACCCCCCATGGCTGAAATCCCCTTCAAAAACTACCTAAATACCTTCCTGATGGCTTCAGATACCCCCCATGGCTGAAATCCCCTTCAAAAATTACCTAAATACCTTCCCGATAGCTTCAGATACCCGCATGGCTGAAATCCCCTTCAAAAACGACCTAAATACCTTCCTGATGGCTTCAGATACCCCCCATGGCTGAAATCCCCTTCAAAAACTACCTAAATACCTTCCTGATGGCTTCAGATACCCCCCATGGCTGAAATCCCCTTCAAAAACTACCTAAATACCTTCCCGATAGCTACAGATACCCCCCATGGCTGAAATCCCCTTCAAAAACTACCTAAATACCTTCCCGATAGCTACAGATACCCCCCATGGCTGAAATCCCCTTCAAAAACTACCTAAATACCTTCCTGATGGCTTCAGATACCCCCCATGGCTGAAATCCCCTTCAAAAACTACCTAAATACCTTCCTGATGGCTTCAGATACCCCCCATGGCTGAAATCCCCTTCAAAAATTACCTAAATACCTTCCCGATAGCTTCAGATACCCGCATGGCTGAAATCCCCTCAAAAACGACCTAAATACCTTCCTGATGGCTTCAGATACCCCCCATGGCTGAAATCCCCTTCAAAAATTACCTAAATACCTTCCCGATAGCTTCAGATACCCGCATGGCTGAAATCCCCTTCAAAAACGACCTAAATACCTTCCTGATGGCTTCAGATACCCCCCATGGCTGAAATCCCCTTCAAAAACTACCTAAATACCTTCCTGATGGCTTCAGATACCCCCCATGGCTGAAATCCCTTCAAAAACTACCTAAATACCTTCCTGATGGCTTCAGATACCCCCCATGGCTGAAATCCCCTTCAAAAACTACCTAAATACCTTCCCGATAGCTACAGATACCCCCCATGGCTGAAATCCCCTTCAAAAACTACCTAAATACCTTCCCGATAGCTACAGATACCCCCCATGGCTGAAATCCCCTTCAAAAACTACCTAAATACCTTCCTGATGGCTTCAGATACCCCCATGGCTGAAATCCCTTCAAAAACTACCTAAATACCTTCCTGATGGCTTCCAGATACCCCCCATGGCTGAAATCCCTTCAAAAACTACCTAAATACCTTCCTGATGGCTTCAGATACCCCCATGGCTGAAATCCCTTCAAAAATTACCTAAATACCTTCCCGATAGCTTCAGATACCCGCATGGCTGAAATCCCCTTCAAAAACTACCTAAATACCTTCCTGATGGTTTAAAATACCTCCCCTAGCCCGGAAATCCCTTAAAAACAAAAATAACGACCGACCGGATGGAATGAGAGAAAAAAAGAAATGAAATCCCCCGTGAAAATTTTCATCCACGAAACGCGCGCCACCTGGCTCACTATGTCCAAAATCACCCCAACCTCCGTCCCCCACCCCTTTTACTAAGGAAAAAACTTTCAAAGTTAATTCTAATAATTTAAACTAAAAGTTTTTCATAATTTTTTTTATCAGTTTGGGGGTTTCTGACCACGCTCTATCCGAATCCGAAGAGACCTAAGCTCTAGCTCCTTTCCCCTTCGAGTTGAATCCGGGACACGACGGACAGACGGACACCGCTACTTTTTTATTATAGTTGATTTTTTCTTGCTTAGGGAAACTAGCAGATTTTTGACGACTTTCGTCGATTTCAATCTGCCGCTTGAGAGGAAAACTAGCATAGACCTTTGAGAAAAATCCCATTTTTCAGGAACAAGGACAAATACGCGTTCAACAAGCTGTGGCCCCTCGAGAACCTCATCTACGTCTGCCGCGCCGATTTCGCGAACCGCATCCCCGTCCGGCTGATGGATTCGCTGTACTGTAATTTGGTAAAAGTTAGCCTGATTACCGTATCCCCCATTTTTCAGATAGGCTCCGATCCGGCCGGCGAGCGCCCGCACATCTTCCGGTTGACGCCGAAACGAGCCGGGCCTGGTGGGTCTAGCCGGTTACGCAATGATATGTATTTCCAGCCTGGGCCCAATCGCTCGCCCCTGTTCGTTGGATCGTCGCGTTGCTGAGTAATGAGCCGACACTGGTCAGTGCTCTATGATTTGCCCATCGTAATCGAGTCTAGATCAGCGAGCAAGACTACACGACATTCCGCCACGACGTGCGTAGGCGTTTCGGGTCGACCCGGGTTGATGCACGGCTCGCCCCCACGCGGGCATACATCGAGATTGCTACAAATACGGCTAATACGTGAGTGCTTTTGAAGGATTTGCACTAGAAAGGGATACAGTGGATGATCCGCCGGATAATTCGGGTTTGGAGGAGGGCGCAAATATACACACACCTACACATTTTAGGGGGAGCGTGGCAGGCTGGAAAACACCCCGGGGATTAATCACCTTCACCCTGGACCCTCAAATAATTAGTTCGAGACCCGGGAATTTGTCATCTTTTGCTTAGAATCGGCTTAGACTCGGCTTAAGCCTAGAAATGTGGTGATTTTTGAGACTTGAAAACACCAATTTCTAGGGGTTAACCTTTTTCCAAGTAAAAATTATAGTGGGTATCCTTCTTAACCTGTAAACAGCAGAATTCTCAGCTTTTTTGGGGTTTTTTAATTTACTCCCTCTCTCTCTCTTCCCAAATGATCCCTGCTAACTTGCCCCAAATTCCCCAAGAATCACTGCTAATTGGCCCTAAGCTCTCAAAGGTCGTCAGCTATTTTGCCCCTTTTCTCAAAGGTTTGCCACAAATTCGCAAAGGCGCTTTGCTAGTTTGATCTAACTTCTCAAAGGATCTCTACTAGCCGCCGTAAACCCGCAAAGGATCTCCGCTAGTTACCCTAAAGCCGCAAAAGCTTCTGCTAGCTGCCTGCCCTAGATGGGCAAAGCCTTTCTAGCTGCTAGCCTGTCCCAAATTCGCAAAGATTCTCTGCTAGCTTTCTACATTCCCCCGTTTAGTTTTGGTCGTGTGTGCTCGTGGTTGGTGACGATGGATCAGTACGATTTGCCGGCCGGCATCCGCGAACAACAATATGAGGAGAGACTCGTCAGTTTACAATCAATTCCCTAATCATTGTCTCAGATCTCTGCCTCAACCTACGCCCGACAGCGGTCCACGAGAAGCCGAAAACCCGAGGAGAGGTTTGACATGAAAAGCCCGCTATCGAATTTTTCATCTTTAGTCACTCGGCCCAACTGCTGTGCATATCGGCCATCTCTGCCCTCAGCGCCCTCGCAGCCATCGCTGCCTGGCGACATTTTAAATAGCTAATCTTGTACGCTATTTTAGAGATGTTTTTGTGATAATCCCGGTATCATCACGTTCTTTTTTACCCTTTTCTTCTTGTTGCTGTTGTTTTTTGGTGTGTCTCATTGGCTCTGGGTCCTCCTTGCGGGGTATTTCCTCTTTTTTTGGCGCGCTTCACTTAATTTCAATAATTCGTGCTTTGAATTTTTTGGAGTAATAGTTTTTGGAAAAGTTCGCACCCCCAAAAAAACACACCAAAACACGATATTCCGTTTTCCCTGCTCTCGGCAAGATGGGTGGGTTAACCAATTGTTTTGTTTTAGCTAGATTTTTACTTTTACAAGTGACTCTTTTGCTAGAGAAATTTGCTCGAAGAATTGCAAAAATAGATCTAGACGAAATTTTAAGGTAGATTTTCATATTTTTATTGATAGCAAAGTTTAAAAACTATAATTTTCTTTGCTGGCCAAGTTAAGAAGGAGTTTTTCTTTACTGTAGGAATCAAAAAATAGCACTAGATTTTATAGACAAGCCTCGAATTAAAGAATTTTATATCTTTATTAACAAGTATTTTGTTTGCCAGACAAAAGCGGCAAGGCGAAGGCCGGCGGTGGGGGGAAACATTCGATTCCTGCTGACAACCGCAACAGCTACCCGACGGCCCACAAGAAACAGGGCACTGGCGGAGGAGGAGGATATCCAAGTTCGTGCTCAAGTTATACGCTCAAAATTTGTTTTTTAAGAGCCCGGCTACGGATCGGTCGGCTCTGATGGGTAGGGCAGTTTCGTTCTTGTGCAAAAGCTTACGCACTTTTCCTTCTAAATGAAAGAGGCGGTTCTATCCTTTTCTCTACTATTTACAAACGTAAAAATGTTTCAAACTGATGAAAATTCACGAAACGTATAGATTTTCGCAAAAATACCACATTTTCGTATTCTTTTTGAGGTTTCTATATCTTTTTGACTAGCGAAAGAGATGCTCAATTTTTTTGCAGTTATCCGGACCACGCGGTCACCTCCTCGAAGGTGTCGACCGAATGGTGGCGCGAGAAGGAGCACACCAAATACCTCAAGAAGCGCCGCTTCACTGAGGCTCTGTCAGTTTTTATCTGTTTTCTCTTTATTTGTATGGCTTTTTAGATACAGCCTAATCGCGAGAGCTTTTGGCTTGTCCTGCTCGGCATCCTGTTCGTCTCCTACATTACTGGGTAACGTTGCCCAGAATTCGATATCATAATCGATTCGCTTCAGCCAACGAAGACAACGCTGCCGGAAAAGACTGGGATATGGTCAGAGGGGTACAATCGTGGCTGATCGAGGATCCTGGAAATACGTCAGTGTTTTTCGGAAATTTTTGAGAACGAGGGCAAGCTAGCCGAGGTTCTTTGCGTGAATTTTTCGAAATTTTTAGATGATAAGGAAGGCTAAAATGTCAATTTATAAAAGTTTCTAAAGAACGATGGTGTTTTCTACATGTTGAAAGCTGCAAAAAGTGACGAGTCGCTAGCCCCCACCCCCACAACGAACCAGTGCCAATTTTAGCAGCTTTTACTTTCCCAGCGAAATCTACATCAAGACCCCGGAAGACTACATGAATGCGATGAGCCAGGCGGCCGTGATGGGCCCCGTCGAGTCGTGCAACGAGGATATTGAGTCGGTTTTCTGCCAGTTTTTCGATTTTTCAGAGTCATTTCCGCAAAATTTGGTTATATTTTAAGTGGAAAAGTTGTTTGGCAAACCTGAAATTTTTCGGAGATCGTGAGAGTCGCTGAAATCGCTATTTTTGGTCGAGAAATTGATTTTGTTCCAATTTTGTAAAGTTACCTATAAATTTTAGCGAGCTGCTCCGCTTCCGCACGACGCGCGACAACGAGCTGATGAAGGCGGTGGCGAACACGCAGATCCGCTGCCTGCATAACAAAATCAAGGACCACACCCTCACCGCATACACCCATTTAGCCTATACCAATACCAAGCGAGCAGTTTGAGTATTTTTATGTTTTTCGTAAATAAAATGTGGCAAAACCTCCAAAAATCAACCATAATAATTTTTTAGGTGGTCTCCGTCCGTCTGTCTGTCTGAAGTCGAATCCAACTCGAAGGGGAAATGAGCTAGAGCTAGCCTCCCTTCGGATTCGGATAGAGCGTGGTCAGAAACCCCCAAACTGATTAAAAAATTACGAAAAAGTTTTTGTTTAAATTATTAAAATTAACTTTGGAAAGTTTTTCTCCTTAGTAGCAAGGTAGGGCCCTCTCCCGGGAGGCCACGCCCCTTTCCCTTCGCCCTCTTCCCCATGTCCCTTCCCGCGCCCAGATAGCTTTTTTAAGTTACTTTAATACTTTATCATCACTTTTAATACTTTTAATTAGGTTAATTAATTATTTAAATCATCTAAAGCCATCGGGGAAGGTATTTAGGTAGTTTTTTTAAGGATTTCAGCCATGTGGGTATCTCATGCCATCGGGAAGGTATTTAGGTAGTATTTGAAGGGATTTCGGCCATGAGGAGGTATCTAAAGTCATCAGGAAGGTGTTTAGGTAGTTTCTTGAAGGGGATTTCAGCCATGGGGGTATCTGAAGCCATCGGGAAGGGATTCTAGGTAGTATTTGAAGGGGATTTCAGCCATGGGGGTATCTGAAGCCATCAGGAAGGCATTTAGGTAGTTTTTGAAGGGGATTTCCAGCCATGGGGGGGGTATCTTAGTTTCATCGGGAAGGCATTTAGGTAGGTATTTGAAGGATTTGGGCCAGGGAGGTATCTAAAGCCATCAGGAAGGTGTTTAGGTAGTTTTTGAAGGGATTTCAGCCATGGGGGTATCTTGGCTATCAGGAAGGACAGGTAGTTTTGAAGGGGATTTCAGCCATGGGGGTATCTGAAGCCATCAGGAAGGTATTTAGGTAGTTTTGAAGGGATTTCAGCCATGGGGTATCTGAAGCCATCAGGAAGGTATTTAGGTAGTTTTTGAAGGGGATTTCAGCCATGGGGGTATTGATGGAGGTGGGAAGGATGTGGTGGAGTGGGACATGTAGGGTAGCCCGAAGGCCAGATGTGTTGCAGTCGCGAGCGACTGTAACCATCTGGT